CATGCGAGCCAGCCAGCCTTTTACCGAACATCCTAAAAAGTGCCAACTGCTGTGCAGGAAAACACCCGCAGACAAATTAACACCATATGTGGTGGAAGAGAAAAGGAGCAGGGAGGGCACTGATAGGAAGTGTATGAAAGCGGCGCTCTCCCTCTCCCTCTCTTTCTCTGGGGAGGTACGTGAGCCAGTCTACCATGGCTAAACTGCAGTGAAGCACAATGCTGCAGAGATTAACTCTAGCCCATATCTTCAGATCGCCTGCATGGCTATGAGACACAGAGAGAGTGTAAGAGAGGGATTACAGCAGGAGGGTAACAGAGAGGACAGACGAGAGCAGGGAGAGGAAAAAAAACCAGGAACATCCCATATCGGGAAAGCATCTCACCTTTCATATTACATTAAAGGAAAAGCCATTTATGGGGTAGATTATGGAGAGAAATACTATAATGCATGCTAATGAATGAATGAATGAGTTACTATGGATGAAATCGAGAAGAAACATGTACAGTAAAAATTTAATTTCAAAAGTATCACATTGCAGCATTTGAATTCCTTTTGTATAGGACACTATTGGACGATATTCGTAATTGTATTTTACACGTTATATTAAAGCCATGCTGAATTAACTAGTAAATTATGTTTGGTAGTTATTAAGTGTGTTTAACTTATAAAAGGTGATGAGTCACAATTAGGAGAAAAATAACAGAAGTTTCCAATTTCCAAACTATGACATGGTTTAATTCATTTCAAGTTTTTAACATGGTCATTAGAAATAAATCTACAAAGTCTAATGAAAATGATGGAGACTGGAGATAAATGAAGATGTTCTTTGGGACTATTAGATAAATCTATAAAAAGCTGCTCATCTTATCATTCATTTCCATTTCCTGTAATAGTTTTTCTGGAATATGATTTAAAATGATTAATGTGATGATGCATTATAAAATATCAACTAATTTCTCCAAATATATTTCAAATTAAAGCGGTCAGTCAATGCTTTTGCCTTTAGAGCGACTGGTTGAATGCCTCTTCGTACAAACTTTTTCGTTTCAAACAGAGGATTTGGTCTCTTACCGCCACTGACATCATTCCTCTCAGGATAGTTTTGCTATAACTGAGCCCCTTCAGTGCTTCAAAAGAACTGCTTTAACTCTGGTGAGGATACAGTGAATTTCTGCTTGAACTTTTGATAGCTACTAATTAATGTGCTCCCTTTTGAAGTTTGCTGTCAAGTGCTGGCACAAAATGGACAAATCTTTCCTACCATACTTTTGGTATGCACTGGGATCTGCCCTGGTACGTACTACTATCAAGAAATAGCCACAGCCTCGGACTCTGACCCTGAAATTCCACCAGAGATGGATTACACTGTCACATTTACTTTGGCTCTGTGATCCGTGTGTCTCCTCTAACCTGCCTTTGACTTCTGGCCTGGTGCCACAATGTTGATGTAGTGTGAAATTCACACGCAGGATTTTATTTAGGAAATTAACCGGATTCTCTATGCTGTTTCTGTGTTTGACTTCCTGCTCTGTGCTGCTCGACGTGAGTGGGTCGAGGCTTCCCTCAGAAATAGACCAGACACTCTACTCGGAACAGAGCAGCAAGACACATCTGGGATGCGCCGCAGGGGTTCTGGTGGAATTTCAAGCATTGCCTAGAACGGGCACAAACATCTCGGGCAACCGCAACCAGAGCCGAAAAGCGTCACAGCCGTGTCCGGTGGAATCTGGGGGTGAATCCAAGCTTAAAAACAACTCTAGTCTTTAAAAAATGTATATATTACCAACCAAAACTCTCTTGATTACTGTGTGAGAAAGTCTTGCTTGCTTTAAGCAGTGCAGGTGATGACTGATACATATTCTCCCCCCCCCTGGGCTTACCGATACTTCCTGCCTGAACTGCAGCCCTTACGCCAAAGAATATTAAAGAAACTACTTGGGGGTTTCACTGGTCGCCAGATTACTTCATGTACCAGAGTCAGACTACACTCAACGGATACTATTCCTAGCTGCCTTCTAAGTTCAGTTGATAGCTAGACTACTAATGGCAGGTGTTAGTGTTAATAATTGTTTTGCATATTTATCGCCAACCCTTCCCGTTCCCCAGATCTGCCTCCTCTGTCCACCCCTGTCCCCCCGCCCGCCTCGTCACCATGGGGAGCAGGGCTTTCAGTCGCTCTGCCCCCCAATTCTGGAACTCACTCCCACCGGACCTGAGGAACCTGGACTCTCTCACACTCTTCAAATCATGATTAAAAACTCACCTATTCAGAACTGCCACCCCACTTAACCATCTTCATTGTCTTTTCTTATCTGTTTCTTATTTCTTGCTGTTTTTTTTTTTTTTTTTTTTTTTTTTTTTGTTGTACGGTGTCCTCGAGTGCCCAGAGAGGCGCCTCTAATAATTTAATGTATTATTATTATTATTATTATATTGATTTAAATACTTGACATGTGGTCGTCACACTATGTTAAAACTCCTTGATTTGAATTGAAGTTATCAGCTCTGTAGCCTACAACATCACATGTACATTGCTTTACTTCCATCCTGTTGGCATGCCATACTCTCTTGCAGCCTGAAAGAAGAGCAATGCTTCAAACACGAAAGCCAGAAAAAGTCCAAAGTTCGTTATATTTAGAGGTCCAGACTTCTATATGCCGAGGCAACATTTCCCAGCATGAGTCCTGACCCAAGACTGATTCAGCTGCACATGGCTAGAAAACCCCTTTCCACCTAATCAATATCTATTTTTGTATAAGTGGCTGATGTAACATACAGAGCACGATCCAGCCAAAATAAACCTCTTCTACCAGTCTGCTACTTCAGATACACGTTGTTCCAACACTGCTGCTACAAAGTCACGATGGCTGTTAGAAATTCTTTTTTTACATTATTTAATTTAGCTGGTTGCGTTCCTATGTACACATTCTATGCACTGTATTCTAATAAGCCCCTTAAAGCTCAAAATTTGAGCTGAAGATTGTGCTGTACCCAGATTTAACTGTACTGGATGATCTCTGTATAATTTCCCTATTATTCTCACTTGTTTTCGGTCTCTCCGTCGAGCCAAATGTCCACTGACGAGGCTCTTATGACCTCTTAAAAAGTCACTGACCTTCACAGAGAAACTGTGGTAAAAACACCAATCAGTTCTATTGTGTGAGGTTTATTCTTTCAAGTACATCCACAAGTGAGCATATACACACATCCTTTATTTATGCGGTGTGTGAGTGAGTTGGTAAAATGACTCATTCTTTCTATTCTCTCTCCCTGTCTCCCACTGAGCGATGAGTCAGAATACGGGTGAAATCTGGGTGAATAATAAACCACCCTGCTCCCAAACAACAAACAAGGTTAGCATTCTCCTTTTTGTTATAAAACCACACAATTATATTGTGAAAATACTTTTTTTAATCTATGTATGGGAAGTGACTAATGCTTTAATGTAACACTAAGCATGGGCACAGTGTATTGAGGAAAATTGCCAGCACTATGCAGCTATTTTTGATATTAGTGAGAGAAATAATGAAGCCAAATTGCACACACACTCAAACACACAGACACATTGGTGGCACGCAAACACACAACTTTTCCCTAGTGTGGGAGAGAGCCATCTAGATTAACACTACTCCTACTCGTGTATCCAAATACCTGATGCCATGACAACCCACTGACTAAAGCAATGAGATTACAGTTGAGAGTGTCACCCACTACTCTCCATGAACAACCCGGCATGTCATAAACAACACACGTCATTAGCAGGCTGCTAGAGGGGAAACTAATTGCATCAACACCCAAATATTTCATAGAACTTAATGTATTTTACTCCCATCTAACTGCATCAATCAGAATCCATTTCCTGTGCCTGCTAAGCTGACTTTGAACTGAATTCATGGCTTCTCTGAGTGGTGCCAGATGAATTTCAGATGGCTCACTATACCTAAAAGTCACAATTTCTCACTGTCTCTTACCAATAAGATAGTCAGGATCTCACACTATTCTTGGCAATGAATCTAACTCTCAGACAGTTCACACACAGATTCAGAACATGCCTGATGAAGTGAAGTGTTTAAGCTTCCACTCAGTAAATCAATATACTTGCTGGCTATAACTTGTTCCCTCTCTCCATCACTGAATACAGGCACTACTGTTCTCCCTCATGTTGTGTTTGGTTGTCACTTTAAGTACTCTGTAATCCAATTAAGATTAACTTGAGCTTTCTGGTCGGATGCTTTTTTAAAGCCCCCTGAAAACTTGATTTTAAACCTTTGGTATTTCTCTATGACATTAAAAATGTGTGACAAAACAAAGCAAAATTTTGGGGGGAATAGGATTTAATGCTAAAAACTAACCTGCTTCATTGGAACTGTGAGGTTGGATCAGACTTGATTGACACATATGACCACATAAGCATACAGCCTCATCTGTACTTGTGTTTTATGCTAATGAGAAAAGCAAGGACAAAAACACAGATTGCATATTGCAACCAACTGAAACCCCCTGACCAAGTGTGTGTTCTGTCTTTAACGTGGCAAATTCTGTGGACAAGAACCCACTCCCTCTGTAGATAAAATTTTTTTATTCTAAGGTAACAACAAATATGAAAAAAAAACTAAAAACTAATGAAAACCTACCTATGAATATTATATTCCATTTATGCCAATAGGTCCTCCGAAATGTTATGCACTGGACATTTAAAAAGTAAAAACAACATCACTGCGGGGTGTGGTCAAAAGTAACTGTAACCACACCCACCAGTGATGCCATGGCGCACTGCCACACCCAAGAGTACACTTCTACATCACTGCAGCCAGGTGAGAAGGTTAACCATTACCGGTCAGTAAAAACAAGACTTTCAAGGGGTGTTAAGTTAAGTACCCCACCTCCACGTATGTGATTCCCTGTCTGATGGTACAGGCGTATGAGGCACAGCAGTGTGTTTAATGTATCTGAGTTTGAATACAAACAACTTATTCCACTGTAATGTAAATCCTTACCCAGCCATCCGGCACCAGAGTTGGGGACACACATGTCTGTCTCAGCACTGGGTAGGACAAAGCCCACTACGAACACCTCCACACCATCTGACATGAGCGCCAGCCCGAGTACAAAGAACAGCTGCCACTGGAATCTCCCATGGCCACACTCCTGCATGATCAGCTCGTACTGCTGGGCAAGCTCCTCCTCATCTGCCAGTCTCTCATTTTCCAACTCCTTGCGGCTCTTTAGGCTGTCAGAAACCGGCTGGCCCAGAGCCACCTGACCATCCCGAGGCTTCCCATCATTGTACGCAGGCACGCCTTGGTACTCCCCCTCGTAGATCTCGTCTTCATCGTCGTGGCCCTCCGTGGCGTCGCTGGAGGCCCCGTCCTCGTCGTTGGCTGCGTTGTCAGCGTAGTTACCATCTTGCTGAGTGTAATTATTGTAGTTGTTCTCTTCTTCATCCTCGTTTTGGAAACGGTTGTAGCTGCGATGAGTTGAGTATTCATCTGAGGCACAATCAACAGCTTTGCTGAAATTTTTGGAAGCGTGCCTCTTGGCTTCTTTAGCGATGTCCTTGGCACCTTTAACCAAGGAAGTCCTGTTGTTATGTGTTTCATCCATCTTGACACAAGGTTAGCTGGCACTTAAAGTCTCTTATTCAACTCTCTTGACCTTTTATTCCACCCGGTGCTACTAATATAAGCTACCTATTCTTTCTTTCTTTATGATCATCTATTCCCAGACAGAGCAAGACTTAAGGCAGTTTATTAGTGCTGAAAAGTCAGTCAGATGCCAGGAAACTAATGATTAAGTAATGAGGTCTAATTCCATTGGATGGGAGAAGCCAGACAGTACTGAAATGGAGACAGTTGATCTCAAATTGGAAAGATCCTCAGTCTGTCAGAGCTCAGCAGAAGACACCATCAGCCTGTGGGGACAGAAAGAGAAAAACTTGATTAAAAGCTGTCTGTCACAAATACTTGACTGCAGTAGTTCCTGGCACACGGAAAATAACTACAAAAGAACATTTCAAACTGAGACAGCCAAACTCCACACTGAAACTAATACAAACTGAAATATAATAATGACAAGGAAATACTTTAACAAACTGCGCAGTGTCATTGAGTATTTGCAGACTGAAAATTATCTTAAAATTTCTATGACTTTTTGCTGAAAAACAACAATGGTGGCTGCTGAAGAGGTTAGCGTAGACGCTGCTAGCATCAGTTCATTAGAACTGAAGAGTATTTCTCCATTAAAAGAAGAGCAAAGAACAACACTGAAAGTTTTTCTCGATGGAAAAGATGTTCGCTCTTCTCCCGACTGGCTTCAGGTAAGGAGTTTGACTACGTTTTCTGGTTCATAGATCTGATTGGTTAAATTAATCTGTGACAGACGGCGATGACACTTTTCCAAACAGTTTCCAACGACACAAACCCACCAACATAAACAAGTGTGGAAATATATCACAGACACGTAGGAATATGATGCAATTCAAAAACAAGCAAGAGCCTCCAAAAAGAATCGAATAAAGACTTTTGACAAGCTTCACAAAGGTTAGATTTATTGCAGGAATCCTATATTTGGGCGTATGCAGCTATGTGTTCTTAATAAACTGCACTCAGAGCACTCTACTTGCTGTCTGGCTGAACAGCTACTTTTAACAAGCCCATCAATGATCTGGCTAGACTACGTCCACACAAATGTGATTGATTGCAACAAGGCTATGTACTGTAATGGTGATCAGTCTGTTAGATGTCAGCCAAGCTTGCAAACTAACAACTGCAATCCAACAGAATTTCATTTAATTATAACTCATGTCCTTGAAGTATTTCTGGAATATTTCCAGGACTGTTGCACTCAGACTATAACACACAAGCTGTGAATTGGAGTCCCCCAGTCCACTGATGTGGTCTTTTCTCCCATTATTAGTTTGCTGATGACATGACAGCGGTAGGTCTTATCATGCACTGGGATGAACCAACCCTTGGGGATAAAACACCTTGAAGCCTGGTGTGTAGACATCAGTCGGCTGGAACAAAAGCTCTTTATCGTTACTCTCCTTATTAACAGGGCCACAGTCAAGAGACAGGAGCTTGACCGATGACCACTCAGTGCCTGTAACATCTCTGCACTGTGCAGGAAAAGACAGCAGCAGTGTAAAAAAAAGTCATGGTGACCCCCTCAACCTCCACAACACTGCATTGGACTAACTGCAGTGGCTTGTAAAATGTGATAAAAGCCATCAGTGCATATCTGGCTCGTCTCTCACCCATACAGGACAAAACAAGTTGTGGAAGCAGGAAGCTAGAAACTTCATCACTGACCCCCAGAATCAGACAGAGGGCATTGGATCCAGGTCCTGAATTCAGGAGAAATTTTACAGTCAGACTCTTCAGCATAACAAGTGCAAGCAGCGGAAACAGGTAGTCTGCTACAGCTCACATTTATAGTCATTATATCTTGTTTGTTTAATATGCTAAAAAGCGGCTGGGTGCAGTGACTTCCTGGAGTCTTCACAATCTCACGGGGACAACAAGCACCCAGCCGCAATCGCCATCAATATTTTCTCACACCCCTATAAAATGCTGAGCTCTAGAGGTGCTGGTAGGCAGATTCGTTTTCCTTTTTTCTGATTCTATACCTAAATGTTAAGCTGAGCTAACTGGCTGCATGCCGTAGCTTCATAGTTACTGCACGGACGTGAGAGTGGTATCGATCTGCTCACGTAACTGTCAGCAAAGAATAGAAATAAGCGTATATCTTCTTTTTTGTCATTGTTACTTTGTTACTATGAAAATTGTAAAATGGTTACAAAATGGTAAACTAGGTTATCTTGTTGCATTGTTTTATTTCATTCTAATGTCAACCTTTCATTGTATGTGGTACAACTTTATTTATTCTTATTTGTGTCAGTTCGAACAGAAGTGAATTAAATTGAATTGAATAAATATTATTAAAATAATTTATTCATTTGTTTTATGCCCTCAGAAACACTACATTCTTGGAAATGTGGCTTTTGTCACCATGTTTTCTGTCAGAGCTTATTCATTTCTGGGTCATGCTTCTAGGCTAGAAAGACATGTCAGCATGTATGACTGACTCCCCTCGGGGGTCTCTCTACTGTGACACTGGCATGGCCTCTCAGAAAACCTGTCAACACATCAGGCCGGACCCGTCTGTCTGCCACACTGCAGCCGGCACTCATCAAGCCCAAAGACCGCTGCAGAGGGAACAGCAGCTAGCTCGGGGCCCTCACATTATACTCCAAAGCCCTTTAGCAACACTGTTATTGACATTGCAATCACAGAGTACAGACAACAAATATACTGCACATGCAAAACACGTGAAGGATAATTTTCATGGTTCACCATTTGTCTGCGAAACACTAATCTAATGTATTCTGCATCTTCTTATTAATGTCTGGCATTAACATATTTTAGCTAACTTTAAAATGTTTAATGCAAATAAACAAAAATAAATAAATTTCTCTCTAGCCGATTGCTTGACATCAACTTCAGGAGTCGCATTCGCCCTGCTGAACTCATTCATACCATATATAAAAAGTTTAAGCTAATAAATGCAATAGTTTGGAGCCAGGGCCTTTTTTTTTAATCAAGCTTGTAAATATTAGTGTGTTAAGTATATATAATAAAGTATCTGATCCAATTCAGATCCGATTAAAGGACTTGAATCTGTATGGACTTAAATATGTGTAATCAACTGACAATCAATGTAAATTAATGTATTAAATATGTTTTTATTCTATTTCATGAGCAGTAACACTGTCAGATATGATTCAGGGAGAGAGGCATGTGGTGTGCCCATAATGCATGTGGCATGAGGATGTTATGTATGTATACGTTCTGCCACAAATGGGAAAAGTACGAACATCATGAGATATTTTTAGGCACATGAAGGGGCAGAATGGGCCCGTAGGGAGAAATAATGGTGTATAGAATTATGGGCAATATCATGGCCAGGAATAGTAGGAGAGGGCTTGCAGCTCAGACCACAAAAGGAGTGGATTGTGGACTTCATTGCAAGAAGAACAACTCACTTCTTACAACTCACCAGCTCTGTTTATGAGTAATCTGCTTTTGAATTGCGCAGTAAATTGATGTTGCATTGAACTCTGCTGGACTCAAGTGTTTTATTGAAGAAGAATTGAGCAGTGTGTGAGAAGACACAAAAGACATCTGGCCCGGCTGAAGGTTTTTCTCCCACAGGATCAAGGCCAAAAAAAACTAAATCATGACATGTAGACATTGTTATTACTAGGTATACAAACGTCATCTACAAAGGATGCATTACATGTTCACTGTTTATTGCTGCTGATTAAGGCCGTAGGACAGCATTGAGGGAGACCAAATCTGCCTGGGGGTTCTGGAAGAAATATAAAACATTTTACAAATAATTTCCTGCCAGTCTCACTTATTTAAAACATTAACTTCTTTAATATATATAGATATAGCCTCGATAACATATTTAATTCCAGTTTGAAGGAAATGAAATACAGAGACAGTACATTGTTAGTAAATTAAAAAAAATTATAAAAGGGAAGAAATATGGTTGGCCATTGTTGACTGATTGTAATTTATAGTGATCCTAGTTTGATCATTGATTGACTATGAAGACTTTATTATAACCTAAAAACAAAACAAAAATTCTCAGAAGGGATTCCTGAAGACAAAATCCTTTAAAATTGGGGTCCTTGGTCCAATGTGCATCCATTGTCGGGGTCCTTCACATGAAAAAGTTTGGATGGTTTCAGTTAACCAAAAAGGAAGTATCTCTATTAACAGGCCTAGCATTCAGTGTTAGTGTCTCAAATGTCAATAGTGGAAAGATGATACAATGCAGCCATATACCGTAATCGTCTGATATGATTGCACCATCAGCAAATAAAAAGAAAATATCCATCTCTTTTACATTAGCCTTAACATGCTACTCTATTTGTATCTGCAGTCCCTGGAGTGGAAAGCATACACTGAGGTGTTGAGACTGGGTTAAGTGCCCAAATAGACCGTGGCAGGTTGATGTATGGTGTTTCTGTTCACCTTTGCTCTGAGGGATTAGATAAAACATCAGTTTGGATCTGTCATTTGAACATAAGCGCCGGGGCGATGTAAAGCAGCCCAAGAGATTTTGGTGCAATGCAGCAGTGAAATGAAGAAGGAAATGTGTCCTAACTAACTTTGTGCACGAGCAGATGATAAGACACTGACTCCCACTGGCCATGGATGCATCTAAACACCTGACCAACGAGAAAAATCTCATCACCCAATGGCTTCAGGACAGTAAATAAAAAGACGTGTTGTTATTGGGATTTATACTGCAGCATTTCCTGCAATAAAACTGGTCAGTTTGTCAGTCCCTCCAGAAAAACGTGATTATGCGATCGCATAATTCAATGCATAATCAGCCAAAGTCCGCATATTTCTATATACTTTCGCCGCATAAATTGCCGATTTCCGCGCATGATTTCATAATCCATGCATTTCCGTTGCAAAAAAGTCACATATATCTTAGCAGAAAGTTGAAAAATGTTGCGTTTACTTCACTCAAGGGCAGCCATTTTCCCCTGTTGCCATGGGAACGTTATGAAGTGACGTAATTACGCGACGTGAACATCATCGAAAAGCTGCAAACCCCGCGATGAAAACCTTACAGTTGTAAGTATATTAGTAGTATGTACATTTTTTAAGAAAACGTGCTGCATAATCAAGGATTTTTGCCCGCAACAACCACAAAAAAACTCCGCATTTTTCTGGAAGGACTGGTTTGTGAGTAGTTTGACAAGTTTTTCAAGCGTTTTAGCAAAATTAGTGCCGCTTGAGAGTTCAGATGTTTGTACCTAACGTGGTGCCATCAGCTAAGTGCTTTTATTTTTTCAATTCAAATAAATGTCCTGAAAGAAAAGGATTT